CACATGAATAGGAATGTCCAAAGGCTCAGGAGAAACAACCAGGAAATGAGAAAACAGAGATGATACATATAAATAAGTAGACCCTGGATCAAATAATACCGAAGCATCCCTACCACCAACCGAAATAATACCTGTGATGACGACATCTGAGACCAATGCATCTGGCCTAGCCGGAAGGGCATAGAATCTGGTTGGATCGCCGGCTGGCTGGCCTCCACCGGACTGAGCAGTAGCTGGCTGACCTATCCCTGCCTGGCCTCCACCTTTAGGATGGCCCCTACCCGTCTGCCCTCCACCTCTAGGTGGTGGGGCAGCCGATGCTGAAATCATAGGCTGTTGACCCTGCTATACTGCCTTGCTCCGAAAGCTAGGGCAATACCTCCTCATATGTCCAAGATCTCAGCACTCGAAACAACCCCGCGGTGCGACGGCCTGCTATCCTGATGGCTGACCCTAATGGCCTGTAGATCCACTGGAAGAAGCCTGAATAGCCGGTGGACGTATGAACTCTCTGGCATAGCATTGAAATAAGGATCACAAGAGCCCTGAGGACCTGAATACCCCCTGGAGGAACCCTGAATAGCTGGCCGGTGATACGAGCCCTGACATGGCGCTGAAATAAAGACGCGTTGGAGCACCCCGAGCAGACGATGGTGATGAATATGGGAGCATGTTAGGTTGACCCCTCCCAAACTGACCTCTACCCCTAGTCGGGGTACGTCTGAACTATCCGGAGAATCTAGCCCTCTTATCCTGCTGCATCTGCTCTCTACCCCTCTGGCGATATCCCTCAATCCTGCGAGCAATCTCCACCACTAGCTGATACTCAGTACCCATCTCCACCTCTCGGTTCATGCCAGATCGAATGCTAGGGTGTAACCCCGCAACAAATCTCTGCACTCTCTCTGCATCTGTGGGAAGTCTCATGAGTGCATGGCGAGACAACTTAGAAAACTTCACCTCATAATCGGTCACAGACATCTGACCCTGTTCAAGATGCTCAAACTGATATTGTAGCTCTTCCCTCTTAGAGGGTGGAATGTACCTATCCAAGAACAACTGTGCGAACTAACCCCAAGTGATGGGAGGAGAACCTGCTGGCCTGCCTAGAACATAGGACTGCCACCATCTGCGGGCCCTACCTTCAAGCAGAAAAATAGTGAAGTCAACTCCATGCGACTCCAATATCCTCATGTTGTGCAGTTTTTCCCTGCACCTATCTATGAAGTCTTGGGCATCCTCATGACACTCGCCCCCGAAGACTGGAGGGTAAAGCCTAGTTCACCTATCCAATAACTTTTGCGGATCACCATCCGCAACTGGTCTGGGCTGGGGTGCCACTGCAGCAACTAGCGGAGCCCCATTTGCAGGTAGTGCACCCGAAATCTGATACACTACAGCTGCATGTCCAGGAGCCTGAGCAGTAGGGGTATGTGCTCCCCCTCCTACCTGTGATGTAGCTGGATCTGCTGGAAATAAACCAGCCTGAGTCATAGAATCCATGAACCGCAGTATGCAGCCTATGACCTTCTACAATCTCGGTGCTATCATAAAGTTCGCCAGGGTGGGCTCAGCTGTGGGCACCTCGCCCTGCTCCTTAATGATAGGATCTCCCGTGGGATTTGCTGGTAGTACTATTGGGATAACGCTGGGACGCCCTCATCCCCTACCTCGGGCCGGTGCCCTCCCCCGGCCTCTGCCTCGGCCTCTAGAAACAGGGGAGCAGCTCCGCCCGGATCTGGAACATCAGTCGTCCGTGTCCTCACCATCTGTGAGAGAATAGAAGAGGGAAATTTAGCATAACAACCACTACACGATAGGAAATGAATAAAGAGTAGTTTTCCTAACACCCTATAACCTCTCGAAGATAAATACAGACGTCTCCGTACCGATCCGCAAGACTCTATTAAGTTTGCCCATGACTTGTGAAACTTACGTGAACCTAGTGCTCTGATACCATGTTGTCACGACCCAAAATCCACTAAGGGTCGTGATGGCGCCCAACACCGTTGTCAGGCAAGCCAACGTGGAAGTATTAGTAAATTCCTATTTTACTTACCCAAATCGGTTTCAACATTTCTTAGTTTGCAATTAAAACAGGTAATGATAAGCAATATGTAATAATAATTATACAACCCAAAAGAACTGTCTACTAATGTGTGTGCCAAGACCTGGTGTCACAAGTAGTGGGCAACTAGTAGAATGTACAAAAAAATAATACTATCCTACTGTCCGGGATAGAATAGAAAGCAAAAGTAAAGAAAGACCTCATCAAGCTACTGAACTGAACTGAAAGGGAGCAACTCACCGTGAAAGTCTCGGTCTATGAAACAGGGGCTCGCAGCAGTCTGATAGCTAGATATACCCGCCTCAGATCCAGTACAATTAAGTACAGAAGTGTAGTATGAGTACATAAACAATATGTACCCTGTAAGTATCTCGTTTAATTTCGAAGAAGTAGAGACGAGAGGTTGACTTAATACTTACTAAGGTCAAAAAAATACAATAAAGTGTTACACTAAGCATGGAAATCACAAATAATCAACAGTTTGTAGCAAGAGGTAATATGTCATCTTCTTACCAATTTTACGATTAGCCATTTACATTTCAAATATTTTGCCGGTCAAGTCATGGATAAGATTTTACATAGATATCATGCGCACACTATGCCGAGGTCGACTGCCCGATCCAACAGAAAATAAACTGTGCACTGCCAGAGGGTCGAATAGCGCGAACCATAGATGCATTTATTTATACCGAGGAGATCGGCCCGATCCATGAATATCAAATAATATCAAGGAAACACGCGAAGGCGCATTTATATTCAAATAAATTCATACAAGGGTTCAACAAGTATATATGCTCACTTATATTCCTTTCCAAGCCTCTAGCATATCCTAAGTGATCATATTAGCAAGAAAATATAGAGACATTCACAAATATAGCATGATGTGGATCCTAGGCTACCCCGACAATTAACATAATAGTAGTTACGCATGGACTCTCGTCACCTCGTGCATACGTAGCCCCCGCATTTAGTAGCAAATTACTCAATTATTACACCTATGGTGACAATCCCTCTTACAAGGTTAGAAAGAAGACTTACCACGCTCCAAAGTATACTTCCAATGCCAAGAACGAGTCCAAACCCTCAATTTAGAGCTGAACAATCCAAAACTAGTTAAATGAGGTAGGAACTAATCAATATAAGCTCACAAGATCGTATTCTAGCTATTTAAGCAATTTCCCAACACTTAACACGAGTTTCCTAAAATTCGACACCAGGTCCACATGCCCGTATTCCGAAATTTTTCGAAGAAAATTGTTCTCTATAACCTAAGGATCAATAATATATGATTTCTAATTCATTTCACAACCAAATTAGTGGTAAAATCTAAGTTTGATTAAAATCCTAGGTCAAGCTCTAACACCTTGATTTTACTTTAATCCTAGTGTTTAATCTACCTAAAACACAAGTGTTAAACTAAGAATAGGTGGGGTAAGCTTACCTCAAGATGCCAAGTAGAATCCCTATTCCAAAAGCTCCCAAAATCGATAATGGAGGAGTGAAAAGTGTCAAAATGACTTAGAACCCGTATTAAATGAAGCTCACTGCTTCTGTGATTTCTGCTTCTGCGGTAAGGGGACCGCATTTGCGAAATGGGCTAAAATGGCTGGGACCGCTTCTGCAGTCTTGAGGTCGCGTCTGCGGAGCCGCTTATGCAGTTTGGCCTGGCCTTCCCTGGGCCGTATCTACGATAAATGGACCGCATCTGTGGTCTCGCACATGCGGTCCACCAACCGCAGGTGCGGTTATGATAGAAGCAGCAGCTTCATCACTTCTCAAAAATTTCAACTTTACTCGAGCCTCGTCCGATTGACGTTCAGGGCTCCCGGGCCCCGCCCGAACATGCCGACAAGTCTGAAATCACGAGACAGACCCCGAAACAACGCTAAATCTAAGAATCACCCCCTAACACCAAATGAATCAAACTTATGAACTTCAAGTTCTTGATTTTCCTCTAAGGAGTAAAAATGTCCTATAACTACTCGGATTGACACCAAATTTTGCGGACCTGTACCGGGCTTCGGAACCAACATACGAGCCCGATATCCATGAAGTCAATCATTAATTTGTTTCTTTAAATCCTTAGAATTTCAGTTTAACAATTTCTAATAAAAATTCATTTTTCGGGCTAGGGACCTCGGAATTCGATTTCGGGGCATACGCCCAGGTCCCATATTTTCCTACGAACCCTCCGGAACCGTCAAATCATGAATCCGGGTCCGTTTGTTCAAAATGTTGACCAAGTCAAACTTAGTCCTTTTTAAGAAAATCCTAAGGAATCAAATGGGCATATTTCACTCCAAACTTTTTCAAATCCCGAACCAACCATCCCCGCAAGTCGTAAATTAGCTAAAGCAAGCGCGGAAAGTTTTATTTAAGGGAACGGTCCAAAAGGCAAAACGACCAGTCGGGTCGTTACCGAATCCTTGACACGCCTCAAGCTAAACCTTTTATTCTCCATAATCATCCAATTTTTTCCAACAAAACATAAGCATGCGTCATCTCCAACTTAATTTGTTTCTATTCTATAGCCATTTTTCTCTTTGGTTTTTGATACACGATATATAAACAAGGGCAGCCTAGCGAAATATGTTGCCTAAAGCCAAATCTTAATAATAGGCCTTAGAATTATTTGAAGAAATTCTTGCGTAATTTACTAAAAATTTATTCTTATAACTTTTTGAGATGCAAAAATATTAATGATCTTTTTATAATCAATTTCTTCTAATATTTCTTTCAACTAACATGTAACCAATTTATTTTGTTATTTGAAGATATTGTTAGTATTAGGTATGATTTTAGTTGTTTTAATTTTGAAAAACTTTCTTTTGTCCTTCCAACCTACTAATAATATCCAACGTCTCACAAAGTAACAATCGTAATAGTATTTTTATTTAAAAGAAACAGTAATCACATCAAAGTAAAGATTCACTAGCGGAAAGATCAAAAGCACTCATTTTAATTATTTGAACATTAAATATGCTCAACCAGATACTACAAGAATCAAACTTAGAGTATGTCGATAAAACATGGGCTAAAATGTAAATTTCTCTCTAGTGGATGATTGAGTGTTTCTTTTTTTTGCGATTCAAGGATTGCTCCCTTGATAACTCGACCCCACGATCTTAAGGTGGCGATGGAGCTTACGACTTGAGTGGTTTAAAAAGTAGTTCATTGATACGATTCTTCAATATTTCCTCTGGAAAGCGAAACTCATCGCCATCTGAATATGCGAAATAAGACGATTTACATGTCTTCCAAAAAATATCCTTGCACACTTGTGGCAATTGGCTTCCCTTTCTTTGAGTTAGAACCATCCCCAGCAACTCTCTTCTCTTATTTTCCAGCATTTCCTTTGCATGTTTTATAGCTTCTTCTTCAGAGATTGTTCCTTTACTCTGATTTATTAATATAGAGACTATATTTGTTGGTGAACTCTCTGCTTCTTCTCTCTGGAAGAAAACGTGAGAGAGGATCAAGTATTCATATAGCAAATTAACCAAATACTACTGTATCAGAAGAGCAATACTATTATGGTAAAAATTATCATGCACTCGATCTTTACACAAAATCGTATAACTTAGCATTATTAAGTGATTTAATATGGTGATTATATATATTAATTAGCTATATGTAAGTCAAAGAAGTCTATTAATTTGGTGTAAACACTAGATGCGGATAAATTTTATTCCATAGTGAGTTCCATAAATTAGTTTCTTATTTTGTATGCTTAATTGAAGTAGTGTCAAACCTAAGAATTTGTCCCATACTTTACACAAAATAAGGCAAATTATATTGAGAAGTTATCTAAAGAAGTAGTATTTTTACCCTGCATATATTTCCTAATGGTGGCGTGTGCAAATTAATGTGTCAGCCTCAGCTATTTTATTGGTACCTCCTACCTCCCATCAACAAAGGTATCGTTAAGTACTCCGCCCACCAAAGTCTAAACAGATGAAAAAAAATCACATAACATTCTGTTTCTATTGCAATTTGAACCCTAGTTTTCAAGATTTTTACCCACTTTATTGATGCTAAGCCACACCCTTTGAGTGAAGATCTCCTTTAAAAGACTTTGGCAGAGCCACGTTTGTCCAAGGGGTGTCAATTTATACCACTTCGCTTAAAAAAAATCACTATATAGCTAAGCAAAATTTTAGTTTTTATGTATATACACTAATATGTTGAATCTTTTTGATCTTTTCATGTGTTTACTTCTTTCTATTTTAATGCCATTTTGTGAATATCCTGACTCCGCTACTACTGATCACATGACAAATGTTTTGGTGGCAAAGAAAAGATAAAGTAGTTTTAGAAGGAATATTACCTTGTAAGATCCTACATCATTAAGGAGTCTTGCCACCATACTGGTACAATTGCACAAGGCACTCATTTCAGAACTCTGTAAAACATCCTTTGATAGTTTTGGCCCAAGAAGACATTGTGTTATGAGAGTAATGCATCTAACACCAATAGTTTCACAGGCCACAGACAAATACTCTTCTATGCTTGGTGTTGTCTGATTTCTCCACCACTCAAATTCTACCATCATATTCTTTAACAAATCAAGCCACTATACCAACAAATATAGACAATTAAAAAAATATGGAAAAGAACATTATGGGAAAATGAAAGAATAAGGGTGTGTTTTGGTACGAAGAAAAATATTTTTCGGAAAATAACTTCCACTTTTCAATCAAACGCCGTAAAATATTTTCCTTCAAAAAAAGTCATTTTTCAATATAATGACTTTCGTCATACCAAACACACCTTAAGAATCATACTCTTTCCATACCAAGTTTATAAAGTGATCTTTGATGCATTGACCTTGCTTAATATTTGCTATTGCTGCAAGCTCCTCTATAGTTTTGTAAAGTGCTGAAAAGAAAACTTTTACCCTCTCTGAATGAAATTGCACTGTTGAGTAATTACCATCCCAACTGAAAAAAAAATTAGAAATAGCCTGATTTACAACTGATAATTGAAAAATAGCGTCAGTTAAAAAGTAATTGAACTTTTGCCACTTTTGCATGTAAAGATAAAATTTGAATAAAAATACCCTAAAAATTCGGACAAATTTCAACATAATATGCTAGAGTTCGAATTTTTTACATATGCGATTCCAGCATAATGTACTGAAATTTTATATTGCGCTGGAGTTCCAACATAATATGCTGAAAGTTCATATGCAAGGGCTTCATTATCAAGTATATTATGCTGGAACTTTCTGTGTTTTAGCTAGGGTAGTGGCTATATTTTAATGATTTTGCAAACATTTACTATTTATCGATTACCAGTCTGAAAACTAGCTAGCACATGCTATTTCACGTAAATGTTAGAAGTTAAATGAAAGGCCCAAGGGATAATTTGCACTGCATGGCCTCTTTTGAGGCCACTCATTGAAACCCGTCCCCAACACCGCAGCAAGATAAATATAATATATGAAGAATTAACCTAAATAGCTGCTCACTTATTCGCTTAAATTAAATATAGCCGGCATATATATAATATATGTATAATCACATATATTTTATGTATACCGTCTAAGAAAAATAAATATTAAATACAACAGGCTATTTATATAAAAATCCCATAAAATTTTGCCTTTAAAATTAGTTTGATGATTTCTATTCATTCATATATAGTCCACTTGTCTAATAGGGACATAATTTAAAGAGAGACCTAAAAAAGGCGAATTGTTCAAACGCCCCAAGTCCAAGTACCGACCATAAAAAGTAAAAAGGGACTACCTGAGATCGAAGAAAACCCGCATCAAATAAAGTGGAAGAAAATTTGACAAACCGAAAGCACATGGATATAGAAGGGGTTTTGCGGAAATATTATAAGCATGGAAGCAGAAAATTTACCTTTCTACTAATTCAAAGATGTTGAGCAATTCATCTTTGCCAACAAATCCATCGAAAAAATCATCAACTAAAGTAAGAAGCATGGTGCTCTTTACACATGCAAGACGAGCGTCAGAAAATTCAGGTTCGAAAAGTAAAGCAGCAGTCAGGAAGAAATTAGTGTACAAATTCTGTTGTGGCAATCCCACTTGGTCTAGTCTGCAATCCTCGAACCACCTATACATTCATATAAGGAGAATTAACCAAAATAATCGCCCACCAAACCACTTAAACTAAAAATAGCCAGCTGAGGTATAATATATGCATAATTTATGTATTATATGTGTATAATCTATGTGTGGCTAGAAAATGTAAACAATGAATATGGACGGCTATTTGTGTAAAGATCACATAATCTTAAGTGGTGTCCAAGAATGACAAAGTCTACTAAAGCAATATTTGACCTATATAAATACATATACACACACTTAATATAAATTTCTGACAAAGGGTGTTCAAGTGATGACTCTTCGTTGATTATGATTGTGCTAGTGTCCAAGAATGACAAAGTCTATTAAAGCAATATTTGACTTACATATAGTTTAATTTTCCGACAAGGGACCTTCACCTGACCAGCTTTCGCCGATTATAGTTGCGTCCCTCGTGTCTAAGAATCACAAGATCTAATGAAGCTAATAAAAGTGAAGATACCTCTTGAGTTGTTGAAGTTCTTGTTGATGTTGGGCTTGGCACAAGTTAAAATCCAGCTTTGAGAACCTTAGTAAATCTATGCTGTTAATATTGGGAGACCTAATAACAGCGAGAAATTAAGAGTTTGAGAAGATGAACTCTTATAGATTGAACAACAATCAACAAATAAGACTAAATATAAATTTATAAATCATTGTGCTTAAATAATTACCTGTAAGCGGCTTTTAAGATTTTAAAATTGATCATCTCATATGCCTCAATATATCGTTGATTTTCCACTCGACCATATGTGGCGTAAAACTTCCTCAAAGCAAACTCTGCCTAATATTTCTCAGATTAGTAATGGAATTTTATAAAACTAAAGCTTTTAAGGAGAAAATAAAATCAAGCTAATACAATTGTTTTTATCATTTCAAATAACATCCACAATAGCAACAATAATGACAAGCCATACCACACAAAGGGTTGTGGCGAGATGCATAAAATTTCTATGCTTTTAGTTAGAGGCTTCAGGTTCTGAGTCATGTGAAAGAAAAATTATGGTAAGGAGCGCGTCCCATTTTAATGGGCCTTACGCGGTGCAAATTCATATTAGCCAGAGCTTCAAAGCAGGTATCAGACCCCGGATGAAAAAAAAAAAGAAAAAAAAATAGCCAGATTTACAACTGGTAATAAAAAAATAGCCACAGTTTCAAAAGTAATCAAAATTTAGCCACTTTTTCATGTAAAGATAAAATTTGTACAAAAACACCCTTAAAAATCCAAAAACATTCCAACCTAATATGCTGGAGTTCGAATTTTTTACATATGAGCTTCCAGCATAATGCGGGAAGTTTATATGTCAGAGCTCCATAATCTCGTATACTATGCTGGAATTTTCTGTGTGCTGGAGTTTCAACATAATATGCTGGAAGTTTATACGCACGAGCTACATAATCCCGCATATTATGCTGTAACTTTTCGTGTTTCAGCAAAACAATGATTATTTTTCAATAACTTTGCATACGCTGACTATTTTTTTGATTACCAGTCCCGAAAACTGACTAGCTCGTGCTATTTTCACGAAAAATACATAAATTATGACAAGTTATGCATCATTATATTTCCGAAAGTCTTTTACAAGTAATACCTCATTTTTTGACATCCTGTCGATGTAGTCATTGGTTAGGAGTTTTTGCTCCATAAAAGATCTTGTCCAATTATTAATTTTATCCAAAATGTGATCTTTCCCATAAATAGCCAACTGTGAAGCTTTGTGGAGCTCAAGAATTTCAAAATAACTCGTAAATCTCCCACTTGTTGAAAAGAAATGTACTTCATCGACAAATTCAACTAGTTCTTCTGCAAAAAGAAAAATTGAATTAGTAATTAATTTATTATGGCCAACTACGTACTATGCAACCTCTATTCTATTTCAAAAAGGATGTCACCTTTCTATATTTAATAAATTTTCAATTCTAACATTTATATAATGGCTTGCCTTACATGAATGACATGACACGTTTAAAATAAAAAAATTCAAAAAATATTTTTGGAATGTTATATACACTTTTACTTAAGAATCATTAGTTTAAAAAATATATTCTTTATATTTTTAAAGAGTCAAAGTAAGACATATAAAATGACTGACGGAATAACAAATTACCTGGGGAGACTTCATAGTTACTCATCCGTAAAAGCCGAAACGCCAAAGCACAATGGGCAACGTTTGAAAAAATTTCTTCGTTCTTTTCTTGCCAAAGCCTATAAATAATTGACCACTATTACAATATACAAGATGCTTAAAGAAATTGTAAATATCATTGTGATCAATAACATGTACCTGTAAATTTCATCTAAAACATCTTTTATTTCTGTTTTAAAATGCCGATCTACTCCTACACATTGAAGGGTATCAACCAAGCAAAGCAACGAATGTATCTTCGTTGGGTAGATAGTCGGAACTATAAAAAAAAAAAAAGGAGATATATTAGCAAAGTAAACAAATAGTACTATGGAAAAAGCTATATTGCTCGGACTTTCTAAATATATTGTAGCATTCATGACGGATCTTCCAAAAATATGAGGATACGATACACCCCAAATGCATTTTAGTTAATATAAGCAACATAGATGGGAGGATTAGAGAGAGATCTAGCATTTGTTGAATATGGGTGTACCATTAAAGAAAGGAGAAATTTTTCTTAAGTGGAAATCAATCGATGTTCCTTTGGATAAGCAACTCAATTCAACCAAGTGTATTATTCAACCTTTTCAGAGAATGGGGTCCAACATATAATATTATACCAACAACAATAATAACAATAACAACAACAACAAACCCAGTGAGTTCTCACAAGTGGATTCTGGGGAAGATAGTGTGTACGCAAATCTTACTCCTATCCTGGGAAGACAGAGAGATTGTTTCCGATAAACTCTCGGCTAATGACAAGATAAAAAGAAGCAGCGGCAACAAGTGGAAACAACAAGAATATATCAAGAAAACTGAAGAGAAAGGATGCAATCAAACAGTAAGTTGTACCAGCAATCCAAGAATAAATTGATATCATGGTAACATTAATGCTACCGACTTGAAAAAAAGAGAGCGCAGATATTATTAGATCAATTTTAAAAAATACGTACATAAAATACCTAGTTTGGCAGAAAGGTCATGAATTCACATACCATAATCTGGACTATAAATCCACTTCCTGAGTGGATTGTATTATACCATTAACATATATAGGAAGCTTCTTATTTACACTCCATCTATTAATTTGATTGAAAAGTATTAACACATAATCTGAATGTTTTGAGATGATAGTAGTGCATACCCCAATTTTTGTGTAGTTTCAAGATTGAATTCAAGTATTCAAAGCATTTTTCGTCGTGTTGATTGTAAATCAAGGCAGCTGCAGTAGTGGCTGGTGAATCAAATAGTGATCCATTTTCTCTTTGATGTACCATTAGTTCCTTCCATTGACATAATTCACCAAGTCCTTCAGCCATATATTCAAGATTTGAAACATTCCCCTTGAAATCACTCTGTAACGCTCTAATAATTTGCAAATATTATCAGAAGAGTTTATAAAAGTAAATATCTTTTGTATTATGCAATTCAAGATGAATTTTGAATATAATTAACAAACATTTTGAGTCACTATAAGTAGACATGGGCGGATTTACCTTAGGCCAAGCGATGTCACGTGACGTGCACTGCTTGGTCGTTTTTTTTAAATTATTCTTTTTTAATTTTTTTAACTAAATATGTATATATAATGAAAAGGCAGAAAATAAAATATTGATAAACAAAACAAAGTGACATAACTTGACATAAATAGCTGTGTAGCTCTTTGAGTCTGGCGCCTTAGTTTTCTAGTAGATGTTCAAACCTCAGAATCTTTATTTAAAATTTCAAAATTTTTGTGCCTCATTTATAAAAAAGATTACATTGTGTTGAGCTGGGATCAAACGGTTGACCTCTTTGAAGCTAACGAAACTTCTAACCATTCGATCATGATTCACTTTTTGTAAACTCTCTCTCCTAGCGGTACAAGGTGGCTAAGAAGGAAGCGAAGTTAGCGGTTACTGCGGCTAAGATTGTCATGTTTGAACGTAACGCTTGTACGAAGAACTTGGAGGCAAAGGAGGGGATAAGAAGTTGTACAAGCTAGCCAAGGTCCGAGAAAGGAAGGCCCATGACCTGAACCAAGTGAAGTGCCAAGGAAGATGAAGGCAGAGTTTTGTTGGATGAGGTACTTATTCGACGGAGATGACAGACTTACTTTTATAAACTCTTGAACGAAAAGGGGGATAGGGACATTGTGCTTGGTGGCTTAGAACATTCTGAGAGTCGTCGGGACTTTGGGTATTGTAGGCATATAAAAGTTGCAGATGTGTAAAATGAGCAGGGAAGCGACCGGGTCAGACGAAATCCCAGTAGAATTTTGGAAGAACGTGGGTAAGGTAGGCTTGGAGTGTGTCATTGAATTATTTAATGTCACCTTTAGGATGAAGAAGATGCCCAAAGATTGGAGATGGAGCACTATGATCTGTTGCATAAGAACAATGGTGATATCCAAAATTGCAACCATTATCGGGCTATTAAGTTACTAAACCATACCATAAAAGTTTGGGAGAGGATAGTGAAGCTGAGGGTGAGAAAAATTGTCTATTTCTAAGAACCAATTCGAACTTATGCCGTGACGTTCAACCACGGAAGCGATTCACCTTGTTAGGAGGTTGATGGAGTAGTATAGGGAGAGGAAGAGGGATTTACACATGGTGTTCATCGACTTAGAGAAGGCTTACGATAAAATGCCAATGAAGATTCTGTGGAGATGTTTGGAGGCTAGAGATATTCCTATTGCATATATTAAGGCTATTAAGGACATGTATGATGGAGCTAAAAATTGAGTGAGAACGATGGGGGGAGACTCAGAATACTTCCCAGTTATGATGAGGTTGCACTAGGGGTAAGCCCTCAACCCATTTCTATTTTCCCTAGTGATTGACGCTCTAACGCACCACATTCAGAGAGAGGTATCGTGGTGCATGTTATTTGCAGATGACATTCTACTGATTGACGAGACGCACGGTGGTATTAACGAGAGGTTAGAGATTTGGAGGCAGACTCTGGAGTTTAAAGGTTTCAAATTGAGCAGGACTAAAACAGAATACTTGGAGTACAAGTTCAGTGGTGCGACTCAAGTAGCGGACGATGACGTGGGGTTTGATTCATAAGTCATCCTTAGGAGAAAGAGTTTCAAAGTATCTTGAGTCAGTTATTCAAGTGAATAGGGAGATCGACGAGTATGTTATACATCGTATTGAGGTGGGAAGGATGAAATGGAGGTTCGCATCCGGTATCTTGTGTGATAATAATGTGCTACCAAGACTTAAGTAGAAGTTCTATAGAGTGGTCAGACCGACTATGTTGTTTGTGGCAGAGTATTGGCCAGTCAATAACTCCCATATACAAAAAATGAAGGTAACTGAAATGAGCATATTGAGATAGATGTGCGGGGATACTAGGTTAGACATAATCAGAAATGAAGTTATCCATGACACGATGCACGTGACCTCTGTGGAGGACAATTAATCACTACAAAAAAACTTGAATTAACTATGGAACGATTTTGTCACTAAACTAAATAATTTCGTCTCTAAATAGGTTTTTCGTCGCTAATTGCTAAATTTTGTCGTTATTCGCTGTCGCTAACACCATCTGTCGCAAAATTCAACGCTAAAACCAGATTTTCTTAGTAATTGCAAGATACGGGAGTCGAGACTAAGATGGTTCGGGTATGTGAAGAGGAAAGGCACATAAGCACCAGTGAGGAGGTGTGAGAGGCTAGCATTGGAGAGCCAACGAAGAGGTAAAGGCAGGCCGAAGAAGTATTAGGGAGAGGTGATCATTAGGTATGATATAGCGTTGCTCCAACTTACTAAGGACATGACCGTTGATAGGAAGGGGTATATGTTGAAAATTAAGATAGAGAGTTAGGTAGCCGAGCTTTGTCATTGTTTCTTACGGTAGCTTTAGTACGTCACTTAGTGCCTTTCGTGTATTTTTATATTTCTAAACTTTTGTTATTACTTGTTGTTGCCTTCGTTTCGGTTTTCTAATTGCACTACATCCTGGTGTTAGTTTTGTATTTTCGCTTGGTTTTCTGATTGGTTTGCTTGCCATTGTCATTGCCTCTTCTCTTTATCTTTCCTGAGCCGAGAGTCTACTAGAAACAACATCTCTGTCTTTTTAAAGGTAGGAGTAAAGTCCGCGTACACATTACTCTCCCCAGACCCAACTTGTAAAAATATACAGAGTTTTTTTGTTGTTGTTGTATGTCTGCTGCTTCCATGATAAGTTGTTGTTCTATTCTTTTTCTTTTTACTTCCGTTTTCTTTTTTTTGCCAATAAAATTGATTAAGAATGATTTGTCAGAAAAATAATACTTAATATTATTTCTAATGAGGTTATTTTTAAATAGTTCTCAAATCACGAAACTCATGATCCAAAAGAGTTGTAGTAATATATGAGTTAGTTTGTGTTTTATTAATATTATTCAAATTGTAATTTTTTTTTGTACGATGTTGTTAGTACTATACTTTTAAAGTATTGTACCGCTTATGAAAAATCATACGTATGTCACTGTAAGTAAAGTTTTGCATTTCATGTATTTACCATTTGCTCTTGCTTTGTCTTAATGTAAAAAGACCATCCTTAAGTAGAGTTTTGCACTTCATGCATTTAGCATTTGCTCTTGCTTTGTCTTAATGTAAAAAAAAACCTTCCTAATTGCTTCGAGTAGTTGTTTTCTTGCACTAGCCAAATAATTAATAAAATCTGATTCTTAGTTTAGTAATGAGATAACTCATATTTGGTTTAGACAATATTCGTTAGGGGAGAATTCAAAAATATATCTAGCATCCAAATATAATTTTCTTTGTAGAATAATTGATAATTTAATAAATTAAGAAGCATACCTTTCAATTGCTAAATCTCGGTTGCTAATCGCTAGATTTACAATGTCAGGACCCAAAGGCAGATTTAAGTTCATTTTTTCTGCATATTTGATCATACTGGGAAATAAAATCCTAAATCCAACAGGTGAAATCTGATCCTTGTTATCAACTGCCCAACCATGCTTTTCAATAAAGATAAGGCCTGAAAAGAAAATGAAGCAACTCCACAAGTAATTACAAATATTGCAAGATGCAAACTCCTCCACACGTTCTATATTTCTAATCGTGTCTATATATATATATNAAGTCAATTACCAGCTTTATCGGATAAACCTAATTAACATTTATTAAGAAATATAGAAACAACCTCTTACAGAAATGCAGGCTAAGCTAAGGGTGCATACAATAAACCCTTGTGGTCCGGCCTTTTCTCGAACTCTGCGTATAATGGGAGCTTAGTGCACCGGGTTGCCTGTTGGTGTATGTGAATAAAGTTCCACATGAAAAGTAGAAAGGAAAAAAATTCTACTTATAAGGAGTTGAATACTCTTAATGATTTGAGACCTTTTGGGAAAAATCGTGCGGGCTTGGCCCAAAGCGAACTATATCAAACTATGTTAAGAGTATCTTCGGACCGTTTAAGCCTAACAACTGGTATCAGAGCTAATGGTTTGGCGAAACGAGTATGGAGATGGTGCATACACAACACAAATACTTGAATCATGTGGGTGCGGATGTTAAGAGTATTTTTGGGTTGTTTTAGCCCAACATACAGCCCTTACCAAGAAATTAAAATAACATGGGCTAGCCAGTTTTCAGACTGATCATTTAAAAATAGCCAGCATTTACAAAGTCATTGAAAAATAGCCACTATTTTGCTGCAACACGAAAAGTTCCAGCATAATATACTGGAGATCGGTGAACCTGTGTATGAACTTCCAATATATTATGCTGGAACTCCAACACACGGAAAGTTCCAGTATATTATACTGGAGTTCCAGTATATAACTCCAGTATAATATACATGAATATTTTTTCGGATTTTGAACAGTGTTTTCATTCAGATTTATCTTTACATAAAAAGTGACTAAATTTAGATTACTTTTAAAACTATAACTATTTTTGAATGACCACTTGTAAATCTGACTATTTTTGAATTTCTCATCTAAATATGATTGTCTAATTAAATGACCTGGTTATAGGGGTGCACATAAGCCGGGTTGGTTCGGATTTTTCAATTACCAAACCAAACCAATTGTCTCAGATTTTTAAATTTATAAACCAAACCAAACCAATAAAAGTCGAGGTTTTCAATCACGATTTTTCTTGTGTTTTTCGGTTTTCTCGGGTTTTTCTGACAAAATCTTCATAGTATAAATTTATAATTTATGCTCTAATATTTCTTATGTCCTAGTAGGATAAAACTATATAAGATGTTACCCAATAAAATAATACAAAATAATATAAGATGAGTCATGATTATACTAAAATACTCAACAAATCGCATAAAATAAATAATTTAATTAATACGCTATAATAAAAATAAATATAATCTAAAAGTACTAAGTCATGTTAAAATAAATACGACTAATAAGTACTAAGTATTAATTACATGACTAAATAATATTAATTTTGAGTTATGCATTTTCACTATCAAAATCAATGCAAAACTAAAAAAAAAACAAATCCAATACTATTGTCATTTATAGTATTGAATTGAATTTTTTTTGTTAGCATTAGTATTAATTTGATTTTGCTTTGGGCTTTATTTGAGTTACTAACTTTTATGAGCTATAAAACATATTTGACCATTCAAAGTTCTAAGTCCAAGCTTGAATACATTAAAAGAGAGAACTAGTAAAGAGTTTAAATTATATTTATAAATTACATTACAATAATTATTTTAAAATAATTTTTAAAATATGTAATGTATACATTAAAGGAGAGAACTAGTAAATAGTTTATGATTTTATGTATAAAATATTTTTAAAACTTGTATACATGTAATGTCGGGTTGGTTTGGTTTCGATTTGACTTTTTTCAGTTAAAACCAAACCAAACCAATTATGGTCAGATTTTTTTCTAATACCAAACCAAATCACCAAATTATAGTCGGATTTTTTTTTTCCGGTTTGACTTGAATTATTGGTTTGGTGCGGTTTATCGATTTCCTTTGTACACCCCTACCTGTTTATATAAATATTTTTAAAACGTCCACATATAGAACTCAAACTTCTTTTCTTTTTCAGCATTACTTTCTCACAAAAAAAATTAATTGAAGAATGTTACCTCGTTGGACTTGGTTATCTCCAACTCCCCATTTGCTAAGGGCAAGCAAACATGCTAAAGTAGAAGAAAGTGAGTCCTTGACAAGCAATGAATGGCTAGGACTTAATCCCCAAGATCCATCTTCTCTTTGATTTTCAAGAATCCAATCCAAACACTGAGGAAAACATGGCTGGTTTACAGAATTTCTTGAAGGTATCATAGCTACCCATGCTGTATCATAAGAAGAAGGAGATAACTCTACTTTCTGAAATGTTTTCTTTATTCTCTCCTTTGCCTCTTCGAAACCATCCTACAAACCAGAGATGAACTAGTTTTTAATAATAATAAGAAGAAGAAGAAGAAAAATTAACCAAGCCGCTGACCCAACTGCTTTAACTTAAGAATAGTCAGCAAATATGTAATAGATGTATAAATGTGTATAATCAGTAGCAGACAGCTCGATGCACTAAGCGCGGGGTCCGGGAAAGGACCAGACTATAAAGGCATATTGTACGCAATCTTACCCTGCATTTTTGTAAGAGGCTGTTTCAATGGTTCAAATCCGTGATCTCATGATCACATGGCAACAACTTTACCAGTTACGCCAAAATTCTCATTCATAAAATCTATGTATACTAACTAAGCTATGAATTGACCGGTTATTTGTGTAAAGATCTCTAATAAGAAAGAAGAATTAAGGAACATAAAAGAATATATAAGTGGGATTTTGGACAATATCTAGATGAAGTCAAAAAATTAAAAAAAAAAATTGAATTTGTTTTTTGGACATGAATTTCACTTCGAAAAAAGAGAAAGATTTGTAAGTGAAAGCAATTATTAATGTGAAATATTCGCCAAACTAATTTTCTTTTATAACATTTCACCATTCTTTCAGATTGAACATTCTTGCATATTTGCAAGTAAAGTCATGACCAAACACCCATTTTGTGCAAGAGTTTAGTTCCTTTCAATTAGTGTGTGTGTGTGAAAGGCTGAAGAAGGAGGCAAAAATTGAGGCAAATCTAGCTTTCCGACGAGCTAGAACAGGGGTGAAGGCTATCAATCTGATTTCATAACTAGTTGGTACTTTCAAATCCTATTTATAGATTCTGTTGGGCGAATACAATCAAACAGAATCCATTTGTGAGCAAAATTCAAATTCATTATATATATATACATATATATAATTTCCTTTGAATTCCCCTTCCCCGTGTCTTATTTTTAAAGATAATTGTAGATGAGTCGGTTCGATCACCCCACATATCGACGCCCCCCAGCAAACAAAAAAGGAACAGAAAAGGGACTCATATTACCAGTGATGAAGCAATACTGTAGCTGCATCTTACTCCTCTACATGGTCTCTGGGAAATTGTATTTCCTTCGAACAAGGAAAAAAACACACGCACAGAAATTAGGACATGGTTACAAAAGAATTGAATTATAAAATATATTATTGCAGCGATCAAAATTATATGTCTTACTGGTCGATGAACCTAATTTGCCATTTTCCAAACTATGATGAGAAAATGGTAGTATGATATTGCTTCTGTAGCCAAGTATCATTATTCTAAAAGTGTGGTGGGAGGGAGACAAAGGAATCCAATTATTTGTAGATATTTTTCTCACGTGTCTTTGCTCAATTTAGCCAACACTATTTTGGCTAGATTACATACGTAGGTACGTGTAATGTTGGAGTGCGGAACCAAAATGTGGTTTATTTTTACTCAAAATACTCAAATAAGTGTAAAAAAAAAAAAAAGTTACCAAACTATATATAACGCCACTAATAGTGGCGCTATACAGTAACGTTAACTGTACCGTTACTGTATAGTAGTGGCGCTATACTGACAAACCTTACATAGCGCCACTATTAATGGCGCTATACAGTAATTACCTGACCCCATCAATAATGTCTGGGTTCAATAATTTAAATGCGTATAAAGCCACTTTTTGTGGCGCTATATACAAACAAAAAAAATAACCCGGCTAGCCATTTTCTATATAAACATCGTAGAATCGCCACAACTTCATTCAAATTTTTTTTAACTCTTGTTGGTTTCTATTGTTGTTAAATTCTCCAGCATTTTTTCATTATGTCTGAAGAACGTAGAATAAGAGTATCATTATATTGGGGG